GTAGGGGGTGATGTTGCTGTAGTCGAACGGTGAGACGGACGTGTAGTTCAGTTTTGGGCACGCGTACGGGGCTGCAGGGATTATATATAGGTGTAGTAGTACCTCTTCGGGCTCTTGTATACCTTTTTCTTGCTACGTGTGCGTGTTCTTTAGATCCTCAGATGGCTCTAGCACTTTCGTGACCACGGGCCGAGAGTCTTTGCTAGATTTTGGCATTCAGCAACTGGAATACGGTTTAATGTGAAGTCAACAATAACTACAACAACAACAGTGTTGGTGTGAGTCGGTAGGGTCCCGCGGCAATGCATGTGGGCATCAGGCCGCAAGGGATGCCGGGGTTCCANCTTTTTCTTGCTACGTGTGCGTGTTCTTTAGATCCTCAGATGGCTCTAGCACTTTCGTGACCACGGGCCGAGAGTCTTTGCTAGATTTTGGCATTCAGCAACTGGAATACGGTTTAATGTGAAGTCAACAATAACTAACTGATCCAACACTCGACGCGGTCGATTCCCGTGGTCGCAGGCAAACTTACCCTAAAATGGTACACTCCAATCAAATGGCCCCGAGGGGTCCGCAAGTCAATAGCAATCAACGACAGATACTCTGGAGTTCTCCACTTCCTCTGCGCGCTATGCGAGGTAACAACTGAGACTAGGAGTGACCATCACGGGCCGGAGAGAATGAGGTATATGTTCGTATATGTCCTTTACTTGGAAGGGGAAGACGTTTTATCTCTTGTATTAGACACGCAAGGGGAGTAGGGAGAAGTGAAGCCCTCGGAGTTCGAAGGGTCCCCGCACATGCAACCATTTCAAGGTGTACACATGCTCCATCTGCGCGCCCTCTGTTGTTGCCGGTAGATCTAACCATGCCGTATCCAAACACACGAACACCCTCCCCGGTTGGCACGCGAATGGTAAACCTAACGTGGGGCATGGATACCGCTGATGATCTACCAAAGGGACTCAAAACAACAACAGGCTCGAGGGAAAACCCGGCCAACCGGATCAAAAACCCTCGTCTTACACCCTAAATATAGAAAACCGTCGCTATCACGGAGGATTCCAACGGCCGCACTTCCAATACAAGACCAAGGCAGGACAGATTGAACCAGTCACGCTGATTACACACCCGAAGCAACGCTCTCGGCGTTTCTAGGCTCCAGCCGCGAATGACGCGCCGGCACAACGCTTCCTGCGTGACGTACCATGGTCATACTTCTCTCTGCCAAGGAGTTTGGTCGGCATGTGGGCGTGCTGCTCTCCAGTCGGAACATACTCTGCAGTGATCTTGCCCGACTTGAATAGCTTGCGAATGTAATGGAACCGCACGTCGATGTGCTTGCTCCTCGCTGAGTTGAACGGGTTCTCGATTAAGGCGAGAGCCCCCTTGTTGTCCTCAACGANTCTCCAGTCGGAACATACTCTGCAGTGATCTTGCCCGACTTGAATAGCTTGCGAATGTAATGGAACCGCACGTCGATGTGCTTGCTCCTCGCTGA